AAACTTCTGACTGAAATTATAATACCCAGAAAGGGTATACAAATGAAGAAAAAATCTCTGAAATCCTGCACCTGGCAGTCGTTACGGGGTTTTTTTCACTGCTTTTAGCAGAAACTGAAAGTCCGAGCAGCTAAAAATTATCTGGATAAATAAAATAATAGCAAAAGATGCTGCTGAATCCTTGAAAATAAGAAAAGAACTCATGTTACGCCATAGGAAAAAGTCAGGCAAAGAGGTTTCTTAAAGAAAATGAGGTCAGAATATACAAGAAAAAATATTAAATAGGTAGGTAAGAGTTAATATATAAGTAAAACCAGTTTAAATTGACCATTATCCTTGCGCCAGAGAAATGCAATAATTAAAAGCCTTGTTTTGTTCAGCCATCATAATGATTGTTTCAAAATAACCCAAGAAAACCCAAAAAGCTTTAATTAATAATCTTTTGTGTGTGTCCTAAACTATGTATACTCGCCCACGAACAAACAAAACCCATGAAATATAATAATAATTTACATAAACTATAATAACAATGACCGTTACCCCCACATACATACATATACACAGAGACAAAGCCCAATGAGTCAGCTGCCTGAGCCCCTGGATCTTGGCTGGATTAGGCCAAAACAATCAGATGGCCAAGGCATTTTGATGACCACAGCTGGAATGGCCCACATGGAGACAGAAAGGACATGGGACATGGTAGATGGGTTGTGGAATGGAGTGCGTACAATATATAACCATTATCAGGTGTCAGTCGTCCCGTTTGTTTACTTAGTCAGCGACAATTTCCATTCCAGGACACACCGGGTAATAGTTAGTGTCCTTGTGCGACTGACAAAAGGGGGAGACCGGGGTCCTATGCCATTCGTACACGTCGTACAATCAATTGCTATTAGTTTTCATTACACACAAATTACCATAAAATCACACACACACCGAGTTCAGAGTCCAGAGTCCAGAGTCCAGAGTCCAGACTCCTTTTCCATCCCTCTGATTTTCCTGCCATTTGTCCCTTTTTTTTTGTGGAACTACTTACGACCGACCGCAAGGTGAACACCACTTTTTCGATATTCATGGAATAATTACACTTTATCAGGGACACTTCATGAATTAACAACTTGGGCCGAAAGGCACTCCGTTCCCACTGAAATTAGTCAAGTTTTGTTGCGTTTACGTGGAAATTATCGTAATTAGAATATATTGAGCAATAAAAGTGATTTTTATTATTGAACTTCCCGCAGAGAACACACACTCGTTTGCAGTTGATTTTCCCATCCCATCCTCCCCCCCTGTAACATTTCGTTCAGGTAAATGGCAAACTTTATTTGCCAGGTTGGAGTCCTCCTCTGAAGCAACTTTTGCACTTGCAGGGCTGCCGAAATCCCAAAGAAACTTTACCCAAGAGTGGCTAAATAGTTGGCAACGTAAGCTGGGCCTCTACCCCAAGTTCTTCTTCAAAGAGTTTTGGCCAGGAAGAGCTCCAAGCTAGATGCCCGAAGCCCTGGACCCTGGGCCAAATTAACTTTGATGCTTTCGAAGGGGGGCATAAAAACGCAGGCCATTTGACTGGCTCCTAAATATCGTCGTCACTCCATGGCAACAGAAATGTTACAACACTCGGACGAAAGTCTATTATATTATTTCTATTATTTATTATATTATTTCTATATCTTTTAAAATTAATTAAAAGGTTTAAATTAGACTTTGAGCTGTAATTGGGAGATGGAATAGAAAGAATGTTTGAAAAAGAAAACAATTTGCTTACTTTTATTGATTGAAAAAATATAGTTTATTAAATATTTATACTTTATACTTGGTAAAAACTAGATATGAGTGTATTTCATTAAGATTTTGTGAGATTTTCCATTGGTTTTACTCTTCAAAAGTTACCTTCCTTGGCTTAGCAAATTCATGTGTATGAACCCCAAAAAGTATGCTATTTTTTACGGCCATATAACGCCGGGTATGTGTTTGTTTATATAAGGATTCCCTGAGTATTTGTTCTTAATAATTTCTATATTTCTTTCTTTTTAAACGCTCTTCAAAGACCAAAGCTGATTAGAGTATATATTTTTCTCGGTGTAAATTGGAGTGGGCTTCACTGTTTCGGGTTCAGAGTTGAGGGGTCATCGGGGCTCCAAATCCTCCTGGCATGTGTGTGTGTGTGTGGATGTGTGTGCGTATGAGTTTTGTCAAGAAGCGAATGTCAATAAGCAAAAACAGCTGTCAAAACACAGACGCTCCTCCAGGAGGATGATAATGTAATTTGACAATCAACCGAATGCCACAACAGGGCATCCGAAAGGCGAGCTGGAACTCTGGAACTCTGAACTGTGGAACTTTGAGCTTTGGCCTCTCGATTCGGGATACGGGATACAGGGGCTACTCTCGGACTAATGCAACTTAATCGATTGGGATGCTGGGCATTTTCTAGGTAATCGACTTTGATGGCCACATGGGAAAGGAAAGCCAACGACGGGGATTTAATGAGCAGGCAACAACTGACATGAATGCCTCATAAATTGTTGCGCCCGGGGCTTTTATGAAAACATTTCCGTGGGGCCACCATTAAAGTGTGAATGGATGGAAGGATGGCATCGTCGTTGTTGCCACATTGCACTTAGGCCGAGAGGTCCTGCGTCCTGCGTCCTGTGTCCAGCGTCCTCGCATTGTTTTGTTTTATATGCAAAGAGCTTATAAAATTGAATAGAGCCCGCACCCGTATTCATAATAATGGACAGCAATGTGGGCACTGCGTAACCCGCTTAATGTGTGCACTTAAATCTATAATATGGGAGCGGTGTTAAAAAAAGCGTTGCATATAAATTATGCTATGCCTTTTTTCGCTAGAGTGGACCTGATCCTGAACTTAAAAAGGAAATACTGCAATCAAAAGGGGTTTGAAAACCCTTCAAAAGGTGCCGCAATCTGTTGACAATATTTTACTTTACATAATTTATAGTCATAATTTTGCTAGGGAAGAGTATTAGATATTACTATTAAACTCTTTTAGGGTATTATAATTCCAGTAAAAGGCTTGTAACTTGCGAAGGATACATTTCCGACCCTAGAAATCATATATATTCTTGATCAGCATCACCAGCCGAATCGATCTAGCCATCTCAGGAAGAAGTAAAATTTTTTCGAATTTTTTCCAAATTTTTATGTCAATATTTTCCATAATTGATATTGAAAAAATTGTCAAAAATTTAAATTACCTATAATCCTAATTTAAGTATGCAGATTTATTAACTTAACAAAAACTAACATAACGCAGCTTTCCGAATTAAAATTAATGCATTTTTGGCTTAGTTATGAGATTTTTAAACTATGATTTGGCGAATAAATTTTCATACAAAAATATAGATAAATATCGGTTAAAAAATGGTATTATAATTATAGTCAGAAGCTTGTAACTCGAGAAGGAGTCATTTCCGACCCTATATATCATATATATTCTTGATCAGCATCAACAGCCGAGTCGATCTAGCCATGTTCTAAAGAATGTAAATTTTGACCGAAATTTTTCAATTTTTTTTTGTCATTTTTTAAATGTAAAAATTAGAAAAAAATTTAATTTTTTTAAATTCTAAATTGAGTATGCAGGTTTGTAAATCTACCAAATACTAACACAACAAAGGTTTCCGATTGTAATTTAATGCATTTTTGACCGAGTTATGATGGATTTTCTTTTGTTAGGGTATAGAAATTTTGGTTGCCCAAAAATAGCTTTTTTTCTTGTTATTACATAGTTTTTATATTTTTATAGCTATTTCTGATGCATTTTATTTTGATTTAAGTATCACGAGTGTTTCTCTGACTCTTGAAAATACTTATAAAATATAAGTACATCTTTTTGAATATTTTTATTAAAAATAGCATTTTTATTTATATAGTTCAAAGCTTACAATTATTTTCCAACTTTCCTTAACAATCCTTTGTCTATGAGGTCCAGCCTAAAAACCACAAAAAAAAAGAGAATAACATCCAGCTATAAATAGAAAAATTACATTAAAATAATGTTGTGTAAGCGAAAATTGCGTTTACAAATCCAATCTGTGCTGGGCAGTGGATATATATACATATATATAGGGATCAAGGAGGATGGAGAGAGTGAGTGCTCCTGCTGCAGTGTGGCACAAAATGTTGGAGTTTTTATAGTAACGCCCACATTAAATTACAAGCGGCCAGATAACTTTGCCAATGGCACTTTGATGATGCCGTTTGCCATTCGCCATTTGCCAGTTGCCCGATGAAACCTGAGGATGAATCCAGAGACCAGAGAGATAGAGAGTGAGTGAGGAGGAGCTCCAGGAGGAGCATAAAGTTTGAAGCTTCGTCTTTTGATGATGAACTGCAGCAGGAAATGGCATGGGGTGTGAGATGCACTGGCCAAAAATTAGAGGAAATCGAATGCATTAATTGAAAATATTAAATATGAATCATACATATAATCAAAGTAAGCCATTTAGTTAGTTGTCAGGTTATGTATTAACGTTTTCCTAGTCCTTTTGGGTCTTTTTGAGGTTCTATATTCCATATTCTTAAAAAGAGGTTGAGTGCTGGAAAGGGGAACATATTGCAGTTCATTAAGCTTTACGATCTATGGTGTGGTTTGGTCAAACTTGAGTATTATCTATAAGAAATTTAAACGAGACTTTAGAGGGAAAAGATGTATCATACAAAGTACGTTCTTATATACATACTCTATAAAATTAAAGCAAGAGGATCTATATTTTGACTTGTCAATTGCTAAATCTATGAAATATAGCACGTTATATAAACAAAAATAATGCGCTGCATATATAGTAAAAAATATATTTAAAATAAGGTTACAAAATATATATTCAAGTCAAGATTAAAAAATATATGGTAATAGTTCGTTCTCTTTTGATTTTAACTTCTGCTTAAACTTGCTGGGTTAAATGGTTGAAATGGTGTACACCCGCATTCCTTATGTGTAATGTGACTCTCCATAGCCCCTAAGGCTAAGAGTGGTGTCTGGACGAAGAGTTTAAAGATCATTGGCACGTAGTATCTTCTTAGGAGTAGGTGTAGAGGTGTCATGTACGTCCTGGCCAAATTCCATAAGGCTGGCCAAGAGTTTCTAGCACATTGAGTTCTCCCTGAAGAGGTCCTTCGGCGGCCTCCTTCAAGGATGTAGCTGTTTTGCTGCAGAAGAAGAAACAAATATATATAGAGTTACAATTTATTTCCAACATATTTGCAACTCTAGAATAATAATACTAGAAAAGCAACAATACAAAAATATAAATACCTTTGTTCGTCTGTAGCTTTGTTGATCCTCAAAGTCCAATTAGTCTCTATAGAAAAAAGTTGGAAAGGTTGTTCAATCAAAATTTAGTTTTTCTTAGGTAGAAACTTCCAAATGATTATTTTATAAAATTGAAATTTTTATATTTTACTGGGAGCACCGACTCCTGGGAGATCTAAAAGTAAACTGAATAGAACCAAGGCCAAGGCTGGCCTTATATACCATTTTCCAATGACAGGACTTGGAAAGACCACTAGATCATTAAGTTTTAACCACAAACTTGAGCAGATAAATTTGAAATTTATTTATATTTTTTTATTATTTATTTATACAAAAGACTACTAGATCATTAAGCTTTAACCACAAACTTGAGCAGATAAATTTGAAATTAATTTCCATCACGTTACCTTTGAAATTTATTTCATTGTGAAAAGTCAAAGCGAAAAGTCATTAAGAAAAAAAGTCGCACTCGCTCCACATTTCACCTTCAAACTCAAGATATTTGTCAAAAGAAAAACTCTCCAAATGGAAAACCAAGAGCCACCGTACAAGATGCTGGGAAATCAGGAGCCACCGTACAAGATCCTCACGAATATTCCAGATTTTCTGTTGATGGATTTGGTCGGTTCTATGCCCGAAACCCCCTCCCAGGGACGCAAGAAGCTGCAGGAGTGGCTGGGATTACCGATGCGTCTCCAGATCACCGATGGCCGCATCCTGGTCGGTATCTTCTCCTGCACCGATCGGGATGTCAACATTCTGCTGACCGATTGCAAACTCTATTTCGAGGACGAAGATGCCCAATTCATGGGCACTGTCCTGGTGGCCAGCAAGCATATTGTCTCCATTTGCGTTGATCAGCCAAAGTCCTCGGCGGATTAAATACTTTTCTGCTTATGCATTGCAAAAAGAAATTAAATATAATATTTTAGCAATTTGAAAATGTCTTCTATATGATTTTAAAATATTATTTCTCCAAGTGTGCGAGTGAATGAGTGGCAGGCCACTCGTTTTTGCGGTCTTGCAGGTAGCCGGAAGGAACAGGACTCTTGGCACTGCTTCCCGTCACTTGTGGCCAGGTGTGGGGAGGAGCAGGAGCAGGAGCAGGAGCAAGAGCAGGAGCAGGAGCAGGAGCAGGACTCGGAGACCGGACTCCAAGAGGAAACCATTGAAGAGAAGACCTAACAAGCTGGTCCGGCAGCAGGCAGCAGGCAAATAGATAAACTAGCACCGCATGCTCGGCAATTTGACTCCGCTCGGCATGCTGGTTGCCTCCAGTCCAGGCTTTCGACCTCCTCCTAGTCCTGGTCCTAGTCCTGCTCCTGCTCCTGCTCCTGCTCCTGGTCAATGGTCAATGGTTAGAGGAGTGAGAATTGAGGAGTACAGTCAGGGATCAGCACACACACGCCCTGCCCATGAGCGTTTCGGATTTACAAAACATTTTATTCCAGAAGTGCAAGTCATAGTGTGGCAACAACAGCTCAGGTTGGCAATGGCACTGAGAGAAAAGTAAGGTTAACAAGATGTGAAATTTTCGTAAATAATAAATTCTTCAATTACCCAAAGATTTAAGGATTCTAAGCGACTTATTCAAGGATTTAAATGAATTTCTTTAAGCTTCTTATTAATTAATAAGCAAAGACACTCAGGCAAAAGGTTTTGCATTAAGATTTTAATTTGAAATAGGTGAAAATCGTTATATTTATGGATGTATAAGACTTTTCCAGTTATTTATTTTGATTTTAAGCAAAAAGTTCCTTAAGATTTCCCTGTTTTAACAGTGCCAAAGTGGCTGGAAATAGGACTTTTCTGTTTGCGGTGACCCTGGAGCAGGAGAAGCAGCAGCAAAAGCAGCAGCAGGATGTGAATTGGGAGCTGGACTAGCCACTAGTTGGAGCTACTATAGTAGTCGTAGTCGTAGTCGTAGTCGTGCAATTGCAGCACGTCCATCAGTGGCCCATTGTCTGTGTCGCGCATACGTAATGAAGTGAAGTGATTGGACTGCAGGGGAATGGTGGCCAAGGGGAGTGGGTCACATTGCAGTTACCTGACCTGGCCACCTCATCATCCGCAGGATACCCACTGCTACCCATCTCCCCCAGTCATCATCACCATCATCATCATTATCATGAGCTGGGATGTCGATTGGCTGCTGTTTGTTAGCGTTCATTGTGGGGAAAAGGCAGGGATAGGGCAGAAGAGAGCAGGATGATCAGGATGTAGAAGCAGGAACTGGGAATGGGATGCTGGGATGCTGGGATGCAGGGATGCTGGGATGTCGGTGTCGGATTGTGCATTGAAAGAAGCGCAATTAGCACTTCGATTGTGTTCAGTTAACGCGATTTGCATCAAATTAATGTCTTCATCAGCAGACAAACCGGACACAGGACACGGGGACATGGACACGGAACTCGGACACGGACAATTGAAAACATTTTGTCCAGCAAATAGAATCAAGCCAATAAAACGCGTTGTTCGGGCTTTTTTGTTTTAACCAAAAGAACAAAAAATACAAAAAAACTGCAAACAATAAATAAACAAAAATCCAGAAAACAAGGCACTTTGCTGCATATTTTGTTTACAGTTTTCGTACTAAATGATTATTATAATTTGTTTATAGTACATATAATATGTCAATATTTCACTATTCAATATTCAATTTAATTTAAAGCAAAAATTCAAAGCTAAACAAGGCCTAATGCTTCAGTTGAAAGTGTTTATGTTGGTAAATTCTAATTATTTATGACAAGGAAACTATTTTAAAGTATAACAAAAGAAATAAATCCATAAATAAATAGATACAAAAATAAATAAATGATTTAATTAAGACAAATGTAGATAAATAAATAAGTTCTTCGTCTAGAATTCCATGGAAACTCAACTGAAAATTAAGGAGAAACGTTCGTTTACAAAGACTATTGATATCCTTCGTAGTTCCTGCCTTCCTGATGGCTTATCCTTGCTAATATCCTGGAACCATCCACATATAATCCTTTCCCTCCCCTGGAAAAACCAAAGAATCTAACTTAAACGGGTTTTAAAATTGGTTTTTCCCAGTGAAACTTGTTGAACTTGCAGTGTCAAAACAATTGCTTCTGAATTTTCGCCCATTGCAGCATCAAGCTCTGTCTGTGCCTGCCTATATCTATATCTATGTATCTGTATCTGCAAGTGCGTGTATCTTTGGGTATGAGATGAGGCAGCACTGAGAGAAAACATTACAAAATAGTAGATAGATTTTCACAAAGATATTGTTAAGAAATCAAAGTTAATTCAAGCTTAAAGTAAATGAAAATTATAGTTAATATTTAAGTATTTCCTCTCTACTTTTTTAATTAATTATACTCTTCTTTTTCGCTCTGTGTAGTAGTCCTGGCAGCTGCTTATCCTTGCCGCATCCTGTCCGTCTCCTCGGCGTCTCCTTCTATCTCCGCTTCTTGTCTCCTGGCATCCTTTATTTATTTATTTTCCCAGCTTTCTTTCGCTTTGGTTTTTCTCTTCCCAATGTGTGTGTGTGTGTCTCGCTTTTCTTTCTTTCGTTTCTTTCCCTCTTTTTTTTTGTCCGTTGTTTTTCTGGCTTTCCTTTTCTTTCATTTGCCTTCAATGCAATTATACTGGATAAATATCTTCTTCCGTTTTAGCTGTAATTACAAAAGTTTAATTGAGTTTTCTCGGCTCGTTGTGTTCTTTTTTGCTGCTGCTGCTGCTTCTGCTCCTGTTCTGTTGTTGTGGGCGGAGTTTAGGGGGCGGCAAAAGGAAGTTTTTCCCTCGGCATTCGTCCTGAAGTTGTCGTATCGTTGTCGCCGCGGCTGCTGCTGTTGACGTTCTCCCGAACCCAAAGTCAAACCCATAGGATCCCACATCCTATCCTGTCCCAGCTTGCCCGTGTGTTTCCCCAATCTCGCATCCAAATCCAACTCTGACTAGGGGCACCCACTTCAGCTAGATCTTTGCAAAGCACTGGGAAAAAATGTTGGGTTTATATTGGGGTTTACCTAGGTATTGTATTTATTTTCGAAAGAAATAAGTGTAGAAATCAAAAGTTTCTTGGGTCTAGAGAATGTTATTATACATGGTATTCATTTTTAAAAAGTCTTAGGGGTTTATTTATTATTTAAATAATTTTAGGCAGGCAGCTACATATTAATAAAAATTTTAAATTTAATATAGAAAATATTTCAAAAGTTCAAAACAATATTGCATTCAAGAATACAATTATTCCTACAATTAGCTAGAAAATATGTTAAAAACAAGAAAGGAAGCTAACTTTGGCACGCCGAAGTTTATATACCCTTGCAGATAGAACTTCTATGACTTAGAATCCCAACAATATAAATTATATTTCTTTGTGTTAAAAAACAATGAAGTAATACCTGCTTTCATTTCATTCACCTTTACATATTATATTTGCAGTTTTACAGTCACAGATGTGCATTTTTCTCCACATCTAACGATCGTTTGTATGGCACCTATATAATATAGTAGTCCGATTTTCATAAAATTTTACACAAAATTTAAGACTGATATAAAATAGTTATACCTCAAATTTGAAGAAAATCTGTTGAAAACTGAAAATGTTATAATTTTTAATTGTCTTAATTTCTCGATTGTTCCTATGGGAGCTATATGATATAGTTGTCCGATTTTCATTAAATTTTATTCAAAATTGTAGAGTATAGTAAAATGGCTATATCTTAAATTTTATCAAATTCTGTTGAAAACTGAAATTGTTATAATTTTTTTTGTAAAAATTATCCGATCATTCCTATGGCAGCTATATGATATAGTCGTCCGATCCGGCCCGTTTCGACATATATACGAGTGAGAGTATATAGAAGGCTAACTACAAAGTTTCATTCAGATAGCTTCAAAACTGAGAGACTAGTTTGCGTAGAAACGGACAGACGGACAGACGGACAGACGGACAGACGGACAGAAGGACAGACGGACAGACGGACAGACGGACAGACGGACAGACGGACATGGCTAGATCGACTCGGCTGTTGATCCTGATCAAGAATATATATACTTTATATGGTCGGAGGTGCCTCCTTCACTGCGTTGCAAACTTCTGACTGAAATTATAATACCCTGCAAGGGTATAACAACGTTATTAGATAGATAATATATTAAAAACGACGTTATTAAGCTTTAAAAAAATTTTTATTAGGAAAAACAATTATTATTTGTGATGTAAATCAAATTTTTTATATTTTTTTAAGCCCCAACAACATATTTAAAAAAATTATTTGAGCATTCCCTTCCTTGGCTAATTTACAAAAATAGTATTTTTATATTAAAAAAATTATTTTTAGTATTTTTTATTAAAAATAGTATTTTTAGTAATTTTATATTGAAAATAGTAATAGTAAAAATAGTAAAAAATAGTATTTTTATATTAAAACAACTATTTAAATCAAGAAATTGCTTCAAATTGCTTCTTAGAATAATATAAAATATATTTGAAAGCTTTTAAATAATTTTTTTCAAGACTTTTCTGTTTTGTAAAATAAGTTGTTAAAGTCGAACATGTTTTAAAAATTGTTATATACCTAAAATCAATATTTTTGAAGTCCATCAAGAATTATAAAGTCAAAAGAACTCATTTTTAATGTGTTATTTTACTTGTCGAAAACATATACACAATTCCTTAAATAATACCTAAAATATTTTAAGTTACCATGTATTTTCTCTCAGTGCATAGGCTATATCTGCCGCCTCTTGTTATTGTTGATGTTGCAGAAAAGAGAAAAAGAGTTGCGGCGCTCGTTGTCAGGCCTGTCTTTGTCTCTGTCCGTCCGTCTGTCGTTCCGTCTCTCCTCGCCACGTGATTGTTTTCCTTTTTGCCGGGCCTGTGGCAAATACTTTGTTAACACCACCACCCCCCCGCACCCCCTTCCTCAAGGACAGTGCATAATAAAAAGTGATTAAAACAGAAAATAAAGCTGCTAGCTAGCCAGGCGCCGACCGAAGGCTGCAACAATTATTGATAAAATGAGGCGACAATTTCCTGGGCCTACCTCACTTGCCACAGCAAAAAGTTTAATATATAAATACAGGAAGCATTATAAATAAAGAGTTACAATAAATTACTTGTTCAATGCTTGATTATTTATTTATTTATATACAATTTACAATACATTTAATTCTTTTTCATGGGTTTAATTAAGTTTTGAATGTAGAAACATGTAATATTTCAAGAAGATATTCAACAAAGTTGATTATCTATAAAGTTATATAAATATTTATAATTCTAATATGCTAATAATATGTAAAATAAGTTATTTTGAGGTTTTAATTGTTTAATATTAAATAAACTATTAGGTCATTTTATGTTTAGAGTATTTACCCTTTACAAAATAAGCTTAAATACCTTATTTTCTTAATAAGTATATGTTACTTTATTAGTGATAAAGTATCTTCAATTATATATATATATTAAATAATAATATTAAACAAATTACTCTCTTAAAGACTTGAAAAAAGTACAAGCTTGTAATTTGTAAGCAACTACATCTACTTGTTTGGTTTTAAAAAACAATTTACTACCTCACTTGGCACAAAAAAAATTTAATTAAGAAGTAAACACTGGAGCAGTAAAAATATTAAAGTGAAATGCATTTTAAAAAAATGTTTAAAATAAAGACTTCAAAAATTCATATATATGTAGTCTTAAAATATATAGATATATTCATATAGTAGGCCCAACTTTTGCCTGTAAGCGGGTGTGAGTGGCAAAAGTCAATTTATATTTTAATAAATAGCGAAAGTGTTGAGGCAGCGTCACAAGAACGCATCTCGCAGGACGAGGCAGGAGCTGGAGCAGGAGCAGGACTATGACTCTGGTTAATTTATTCATTGCAAATTTACATGCTCATGTTTGCAAATTTAAAAACTGCACACACACACATGATGTAAGAGGGGGTGTGTGTGTGGGGGAAGTTTATTCAAAGCAGACTTTCCCCTTAGTAATATGTAAATCGGAGGACCTCGAAGTTGCAAGGCATCTGCAGGATGCACTTGCAGCCAAGTGCCAGTCAGCATTTACATATCATAGTTAATCCCAGGGATCTGGGATTATGATTTTTTCAAATTGGCCTACAAGAGGGTTTTAAAATACAGCCAGAAATAAATATATTGAAAGGGAATTTAAGGTCATAAAACCTATATCGTTTCTATAGTTTTCTCTCTTCTATATCCTGCAAGTTGATACCTTTTATTGTTTATTCAGAAATCCGTTAAGCAGAGCCTTGTTTTCAAATCTAATATAATAAATTACGTTCGCCTGAGTAATCTAATATTTATGATGAAAGTATACCTAAGCATAAGGCACTCCTCCATGTCCTGGGAAAAGCATAACCCAGACTTATCCACACCCATTTCATATGCATTGGAAGAAGATGAAGATGAAACTGAAGATGGAGGCTGGACGTGGAGCTGAAGCTGGAGAGGAAGGAGCACGGATAGAGAAAGAGCCTTGGAGCTGCTCCTGCTGTCAAAACAAATCCGTAAGAGATTACATTAAAAGGCGCATTTGGACAGCTCAATCGCAAAATAGCAAAACATACCTCTCTTTCTATATATCCTTGCTCTCCTCTGCGTGTGTGTGTGGGTTGTATATCCCCAAAGGATTTAGTAGACGCCAACACCCAAATCAAATCCGCACCCTCCAGCCTCTGAGTCCTTCGAAGCCGTGCGACGCTTCCGGTTCCGCTGGAAATGATGGAAAGTTCCCTGATGCAAGCTGACAGTAGTTTTTTATTACGAATTCATGTAATCTTTCTACGTGGCTCGCTTTTTTAAACGGGCCAATCTGCCGCCTTTCTCCCACCTTTCTCCTCCTTTTCTTATTGCAAAAGCAAAAAGAAATAAAAAGAAAGGGAGAAAGGAGCAGGAAAGGAGCAGGGAAAGGTGGTTGACAAGCTGGAACTTCGATTGATTCAATAAGCGATAAATTATGTTAATTCCAGGTTGAGTCCTGCCTGGATTCCTTCCTCGAACTCAGATTAATGGTTTCACAGACTGGACACAGCAGGGATATGCGTGTACATATAGAAATTTATATAGAAACATATGTTTAAAATAGTTGAAACTAGAAGAAAAATAGATATTCAACTAGAAAGGAAACTAAATTTGGGAAGCCATAGTTTATATGAATATATATAGAATCGAATCGGAAATCGATCAATTATCAACTATATTTATCTATATTTTTATATGAAAGTTTTTTAGACATATCAGAGTTTAAAAAACTCATAACTAAGCCAAAAATGCATTAATTTCAATTCGGAAAGATGCCTTATGTTAGTTTTTGTTAGGTTATTAAATCAGCATACTAAATTGAAGATTTTAAATAATTAAAATTTTTGACAATTTTTTCAATTTCAATTGTGCAAAATATTGATATAAAAATGTGGAAAAAATTCAACAAAATTAAAATTTTTCCTGAAATGGCTAGATCAACTCGGCTTTTCATGCTGATCAAGAATATATATAAAATATGGGGTCGGAAATGACTCCTTCGTGAGTTACAAGCTTCTGACTAAAATTATAATACCGATATTTATCATATTTTTATATGAAAATTTATTCGCCAAATCACAGTTTAAAAATCTCATAACTAAGCCAAAAATGCATTAATTTTAATTCGGAAAGCTGCTTTATGTTAGTTTTTGTTGGGTTAATAAATCTGCATACTTAATTAAGGATTATAGGTAATTTAAATTTTTGACAATTTTTTCAATTTCAATTATGTAAAATATTGATATAAAAATTTGGAAATAATCCCAAAAAATGTATTTCCTGCTAAGATGGCTAGATTGATTCGGCTGTTCATGCTGATCAAGAATATATGTGATTTATAGGTTCGGAAATGATTTCTTCGTGAGTTACAAGCTTCTGACTGAAATTATAATACCATTTTTTAACCGATATTTATCTATATTTTTATATGAAAATTTATTCGCCAAATCACAATTTAAAAGTCTCATAACTAAGCTAATAATGCATTAATTTTAATTCGGAAAGCTGCCTTATGTTAGTTTTCTTAGATTTATAAATCTGCATACTTATTTTAGGTTTATAGATAATTTAAAATTTTGACAATTTTTTCAATTTCAATATGTAAAATATTGATATAAAAATTTGGAAAAAATTCCAAAAAAATGTATTTCCTCCTGAGATGACTAGATCGACTCGTCTGGTGATGCTGATCAAGAATATATATGATATTTAGGGTCGCAAATGATGCCTTCATGAGTTACAAGCTTCTGACTGAAATTATAATACGAAATAGTTCAATTTGTAAAATTCTATTAGATTTAGTTTAAATGATATTTTTCCTTATTTAAATTTGAATTTTTATTATTTTTTGTTACCATATGTATTACTACTGGATTAATTCCATATATAGACATAGCACATTGGTGAAAATGTCGATATACCAATTTTAATTGAATGTTTTCCTTTGCGGAAATGCAAATACATTTTAAAATTTGTGAATAAAAAGTCTAGACATAGCTTTGTGTAAATATATCGATGCTCGATAAAAATAACGATATTTCTACATCGTTAACTTACGCGCTAAATCTAGCCTAAAATAAGCTAAATTGGCGATATTTCTTTGACCATAACTACTGATCTGGGGAACATTTTCCAACACTGTCTTTTCCATACCGTGTCGTCTACTGACAAGTTCGTAGAATTTCTTGTCTCGTCATTGTTCTGAGTGAATTTTAGTTGTAACATATCCGGACTCCGGCGACAAATCACCAATCGGAAAAACAACTTGCAAGTGAAGAAACAACATCAGGTAAGTACTTATCAGGTGATCAACTGGCCAATAAGTGTAAGAGCGAAAACTTGCGCGCCGAAGACTTTTGCCTGTGCGTTTGTGTAGGTAAAGGAGAGCGTCGGGAAAAAATCAGATTGTGTAAGGAATATAATGTAAAATGTTGGAATATATATTCTATATATCCACGAAGCAATTGAATTACTGTGTGCGAATAAATATAGTGAGGAAATCGAGAAGAATCTGTAGTGAAAGAGGAAGAGTGAAACGCAAGACGTCGGCGTCGTTTGCATTTGTGTTAGTAAAGGGGAAAATTGCTAGAAAAAAATCGGTTAGTGCGAGGAATATAATGCGTAATGGTTGAATATATATTCTATATATTCCTGGATCAAGGAAATAGATGTTTGCAAATCAATATAGCGAAAAATTCGACAAGAAAATATATAGAAAGGGAAAGAGTGGAGCGCATGCGCAGCGGCGTCGTTTGCATTTGTGTTAGTGAAGAGGCAATGACAGAATAGAATGACAGTTATTCGTATATATAAATATATATATATATTTCTGAGAAAATATCAGAAGAGGAGAGGTGAGAAGAACAGCGAAGGCGAAAAAGAAAAGGAGAAGCGCATGCGCGCGGGCTTTTTGTGTCTGTACTTTTGCATTAGTATATGTGTACACACATAACAAAATGGCTGACAGGGTAAAGCGAAACAGATAAAGATGCCGAGAATCATAAAATGACGAAAAGTTTACAGCAAAATGGTGAAATGATATTTAGAGGAAAAAAAGTTGAACATTTTGGAGAAGTTTCAAGTGTTGCACAATAAAAATTAGTTAGTTGGAATAGATAATTCTCGAAAAAGGCAGCTTAAAATTATACATTTTGTTAAGAAATTAAATAATACTATATTTTTAAAATAAAATCTTTGACATTAATTTTAGATTAACGATGAATGGGTTCAAGAACTCCCGTATTTTGGTTCAGGATGAGGAACCAATTGTGGTTCCTGGAGCTGCTGACATCCAGCCAGTGCTGACCCCCAATGCAGAGGTAGAGCCAGCCGAAGGGGAGGCACCCGCCGTTCCCGCTGCTACTCCTGGGATTGCACCTGATCCCCAGCCGCAGAGTCCCAATAGCGACTCGGATAACACCGGGAACCTGGTCATCGATGAGAATAATGGGAACCAGGTGAATCCGGATGCCGATGATGCATCGCCGCAGAATGAGATGAACGTTTTTTCGAATGGTTTGAAGTGGACAACTGGTATGGTCTACGACTGGGATTTCGAGGAGGAGGACAAGCAGAGCATTAGCAGTGATGAGACTACCTCTGAGGATGATGCCAAAGATGAAGTCGTATCCATTTCGGACTCGGAAAATGAGTCTTAATGCTTAACATCTCGAAATGTGTATATTCCGAACGTACAAATTAAATTTCTCTGATAATTTTCAGTACGACATCTCAAGTAATGGTTTGTTTTTTAATCAAATCCCCATTTCTACATACATTTATTTAGTCTCTGGTTGTCCGATATGGAAAGCCTCTTTGGCACACATAACTTCACTTGGGGGAGATTCTAATGCGATTCCTTACACATAACCAAACTTTGGTTATGGCCATCTTGTGTGACTTCGCCGTAAGCCGACAAATCAGCTTAGATGGAGTGCCATGTCGTCGGCGAGGTCGAGTGTACAGTGGACTCGGGGGCTCCAGGACTCCCGGACTCTGGGACTCTGGAATCAAGAATCAGGACCTCCCTTTGGCCCGCTGAGCCGACAGTTGAACTGACAATCTGAAGGACCTGGCAACCGCAAGGAGCCTTTGTCATGCAAAGAGAGAGCTGTGGGCGCCAGGCCGCAGTGCCACGCCCACCGGCCAGACAAAGGCCAGGTGATGCCGCTGGAAGGGAGTAGGGAAAGGGCCCGGGCAGGATAATGGGCGAGATGGCAGGACCCTCTATAAATTGTAAAACTATTTTCAATAACAGCACACAACAAGGATGATGCTGCTGCACAGAGCTGAGGTCTCTCTGATTATTTGCCTTCTACCTTTGACACGACACGGCAGGAAAGAAAAATCTAGGAAGGTTCTGAAAAGGAATAGAATATAATAAACTATATAAAAAATAATAATTTATATCATTACAATAGATAGCCTAAAAACCCTTTTGTTTAAGAAGTTGCTGATGCGTAAGTTTGACATCATCTTATATAGTATATTAGTGAAAACTTATTGTTTGTTTTCTCTCAGTGTCTAAATAGAACTGTCCAAAGGCAGCATCTTCTCTGGCAAGCGTCAACCGTTTCGGAAATCATTCGGGAAAGCGATTTAAATACCCTGTAAACACAGAGTGAGGAAAAAGCTTTAATAAACTAAATGAATGTTCTAATATAAAGTAACTATATTGTATTGTATATATAATTTAACAATGTTTTAATAACATATATATATCAGTTATTGGCAAAGCTCTTTTATTAACTTTCAGAGCGAGTTTTTATTTTAAGATTTCTTTATATACATACTTTATATTGTTATTAAAAACATTTAGAATATTTTTTTTATTACAAAACCATAAACCATTATATTAAAAATGTAATTTTAACATCTTTAGAGGTTTTTATTTAAAGTTAACTTGATAAATTCTTTAGGGACATTCTACATTTTCCCTTTTCAATATTTTTAAACACAATTTTGCATTAAATATCATTTGAAATGTATTGAAAAATATCACAACTCTGCTTGACGAAGTATCCTTAAGTCGTAGAATTGAGATTTTAAATACTTGTCCTGTCTTTGAAACCCGAGTCCTGTTTCCGACTTTGGGCAACTTCTTCACGGGAATACTTTTCCGAAGGGCGAAGCGTGGCGGGTTCTCTCTGCAGTCTAACAAAGTTTATTCTTTGCTCCATTCTTTTTCTTTTTTTTAGTTTTCCTATTTTTCTTCTTTCTTTTTTTTTATTTTCTTTCTTTTAGTTTTGTTTTTCGTGTCGTGTGCCGTGTTTTGTTTTTTGTCCTTTCGTAATTTAGCATATTCCTTGCAGCACTTGTTGTCCTTGTCTGTGCTGTGCTCTTAAGTTTGCTTCACCGTTTGCGGTGTGCAAATGCAAATTGCTTGGCTTGCATATTTTTGCCACCCCCTTACCTCTCCCCTTGCACTTTTCCAAGCTTTTCCAGCTTTTCCATCTCCTTCCCTGGGCCAAGATGGGATCGGAATTGAAGCTGATGTAGCTGAAGTGCGGCCAGCCGCATTGATGGTTCCATCTCGGAGCCAGGTAAGTGGCTTCTTTCGTTGACTTGGGGCCATTTCTGACCCACTCCGCCCACGACTTGGACAGGGGACAGGGGACAGTGGAAAGGGAACCGAGGGGAGGAAATCAATTCGCAAATAACTCAAAGTTAACTCATCGAATCAGGGGAGTTGATCAGGTGGGAGTTGCCTTTTCCAAATGGGGAATTGCTTGCACTTAATGAAGCGGTGTCTCAAATATTCCAAAGGATAATTGAATATTTGATTTTGGTGAGGCCAAAGCAGAGCTAGGGAAATACTAGAAAATATTTATTATTAAAAATAATTTAAGATATTTTTATATGTTTAATTTCATAAGCAGATTTAAAGGTTGAAGATATTTTAGTGTCTTTTATATTTACTTATTTACTACTTATAAGAATTATATGTTAAGTAGTTATGTATATTTATTTTATTCCCATTATATTCATATGAATTAATATAAGTTAATGTTAATTTTAGTCATATTTATTATTTATTTCAATTTGTAACAACTGCTTCTCTGTCGTTTTTAATTATCCCTTTAACAATTTAATCGCTCACTTGCGATCCACTCAATTCACTCATTCATCTTCTTCTTCGTTTTGGTTTGAATAAATAGTAAAAACTGCTCGGATTTTTCACCATTTTCTTTCCCGCACATTTTCCCATTTTCCATCGTTCTCTGTTGTCTTTCCTTTCGGTCGTGTGTCCAGATGTTTTGATTCAGTTTTAATTCATTTCACTTGGTGACCCAACCATTCGTCCGGCCCTTGAGTTCTGACTGTTATTGCTCTTCCTCCATTGTTATTGTTTCACCACTCTTGTTGTTTTTCTTATTTCAACAATGTTGTTGTTGTTGTTGTTGGTGTTATTTTCCTTGTTGTTGTGAATTTTTTTTTTTTTGCTCTGTGTTTTTGTATTTCTCAGAGAGTTGCTATTAAGAAAAACGCCTCCAAGAATAATCGACTAAACGAGCGAGCAAACGAGAATTGATTCACTGAGAAAAAAATGAGGGATAAATAAATTAGAAATTCAATTTTAAGGTTTTAAAATATTATTGAAGGTTACATATATTTTTAGGCTTTGAAGTATTTTTAAAAAATGATTTAAAACTCGTTAAACCTTTAAGAATTTCTCTTAGAGTTCTTGCTTTATTTTAAAATTCGAGCTATCCCCCAAAATGTTGTACCTTTGTTTTCTCCATGTGTAAACCCCCTCAATTCGCCGGCAAAGGTCCTTGATATTCCTCGGCAATGTGTCCGCTTCCTTGGGCTCGCCTCGAAATGCAGCCAACCAGCCGGCAATAAAAATATGATTGTATTTTCGCTTGAGTTGTTTTCATTTCTCGATGATGTCGAGAAGGACGACGACCACGACCACGACGAGGAGGTCCTGTGTCTGCGGCTGAGTTCTCAGACCCAGGATACTGCCTCCTGTGTGTGTGTCCTGACCCAATGCATGGTTAAATCAGGCGAACGCCAGCGGTCGAGCATTGAACCGCTTGGCGTTGTTTTTCCAGCGCCGCCTTTTGTTTTCTTTTCCCCCGCCTTCCAAAAGTTTTCCCTGGCTTCCTCGTCCTTTGCCCATTTTTGAAATCAGGACGAACGGCAACTCTCGCATATATTCGCTACATTACATTTCTCGTTGCCATTAATCGTGCATCTCCGGCCAGGACTCCAAAAAGGACTCTCGAAAGCATCCACCCACAATTCCATTTCCATTGCCATTTCCCATTTTCCCCTGCCCTTTTTGAGTGTGTCTCCCTTCATCTCTGCCCTCTTGTATTTACTCGAGTGATGTAATTTTTGAATAGCTTAAGGCATTTTCAAAATGTTTAGCAAGGCAAATCCTTTTTAAATGTCGATTTTCCGCCCTCATCCTGTTTACGTGTGTGCGTTCTTAGCATATATTTATGTTATATATGAATAAATGCATTTATTCTTTATTATTGTTATTAATAATCCTAAATTATGGTAGTTTTTTTTTTTTTTTTTTTGAGGCAAAAGAGAAGCTTGTTGAGACTAAACTCTAGCTCGACTTTGTTTCATTTACCCTTGTTCAACACTGTTTTATATTAAGGCTTTGCCAATGCTTAATGGGAAAATAATATTAAGTAATATATATTGTATATAGATAAATCCCTTCTACATATCTCACTCAACTTACAAAGAGAAATTTAACTTTCAAGTCACATACATAAGTACTGAAATAGTTTTTAAAAATTTTCTGTGCTACCCAACACTTGCACAATCTGCGTTACCCAAAAACCAAGACAAAGAACAAAAGAAGCGACACGAGAAACAAAAAAAAAAAGAAAAGTACAAAAAAGTAGCAACAAAAAGACAAAAAATGAAGAAAACAAATTTGTAATGAAATTTTGTATGCTGACATTTCGAAAAATTGCTTTTTAACCTTTGTGCTGTGCCGCCGTCCCCCTCCTGAGCCCCGCTTTCTAACTGCAGCCACTTCGTGTGTATGTCACTGACATGTTAGACGTGTATCTGTATCCTGACTCCACGCCACGGGTGGGCGCCACGAGCCAGGACTCGGAGAGACCAGCCAGGATACCCATACACTGGCCTAAAAATATTTCTAAAAAGAGGGAAATATTTATTGATTTATGGGGAATATAGAGTGTAGAATAATGATTTCATATTGCATATAATTCTTAACGATTGTAAATGACAAAAACTATTTGATTGCTGGTTTTTACATTATATTTCTCAGTTATTATATTTTGATGTCCTTGTAGTTCATTTTTTCCAGTCTATCTTGACAAAGTTCTGTTGTGCAGCTTGCGAAAATCTGTAAACCGAAAACTCTGTGACATGTTTTTAAGTTTCTCTCAGCCTGGCATGCAGATTATTATTAGGTTGTCCGTCCATCCTTCCATTTGTTCATCTCTTTCGCTGTCGCCTGCCAGGTGAGTCTCTGCAAAAGTTTGCCCATGTCCAGTGACAGGAGGACAACTTGGAGGCCAGGGTCGTCGAAATAACAGAGGCGGGAGGGGAAAAGGGGGTGGCGACCAAGGACCAAGGACCAAGGACCAAGGACTCCAGAGTCCAGAGTCCAAAGACTTGTGCCATAAGTTTTGTTCTAACAAACCAATTACTCGCACCAATTTCCGAAAACAGGCTGACTCGCCTTTAACCTCCATGGATGGATGCGGCATGATGGAAGAGTTCGACTTTGAGATATCCA